GAACTGAAAAGGGAGACATAACAACAGAAACTGAGGAAATTAAAAAAAATCATCAGATCCTACTACAAAGGCCTATACTCACCAAAACTGGAAAACCTGGATGAAATGGACAATTTCCTAGACAGATACCAGGTACCAAAGTTAAATCAGGAGCAGATAAACCATCTAAACAGTCCCATAACCCCTAAGGAAATAGCAGCGGTCATTAAAAGTCTCCCCAGCAAAAAAAAATCGCAGGTCCAGATGGTTTTAGTGCAGAATTCTATCAGACCTTCAAGGAAGACCTACTACGAATTCTTTTCAAACTATTCCACAAACTAGAAACAGAAGGAACATTACCCAGTTCGTTCTATGAAGATACAATTACACTCATACCCAAACCTCACAAAGACCCAACAAAGAAAGAGAACTTCAGACCAATCTCCCTTATGAACATCGATGCAAAAATACTCAATTGTCCATCATGATCAAGTAGACTTTATCCCAGGAATGCAGGGATGGTTCAATATATGGAAACCCATCAATGTAATCTACTATATAAACAAACTCAAAGAAAAAAACCACATGATCATCTCACTAGATGCTGAGAAAGCATTTGACAAAATTCAACATCCCTTCATTGTAAAAGTCTTGGAAAGATCAGGAATTCAAGGCCCATACCTAAACATAGTAAAAGCAATATACAGCAAACCAGTAGCCAACATAAAACTAAATAGAGAGAAACTTGAAGCAATCCCACTAAAATCAGGGACTAGACAAGGCTGCCCACTCTCTCCCTACCTATTCAATATAGTGCTGGAAGTCCTAGCCAGAGCAATTAGAAAACAAAAAGAAGTCAAAGGGATACAAATAGGAAAGGAAGAAGTCAAAATATCACTATTTGAAGATGATATGATAGTATACTTAAGTGACCCCAAAACTTCCACCAGAGAACTCCTAAACCTGATAAACAACTTCTGCAAAGTGGCTGGTTATAAAATCAACTCAAACAAATCAGTAGCCTTCCACAACTTAAAAGATAAACAGGCTGAGAAAGAAATTAGGGAAATGACACCCTTCACAATAGTCCCAATAATATAAAATACCTTGGTGTGAATCTAAGAATTTCAAGTTTCTGAAGAAAGAAACTGAAGAAGATCTCAGAAGATGGAAAGATCTCCCATGCTCATGGATTGGCAGGATTAATATAGTAAAAATGGCCATCTTGCCAAAAGCAATCTACAGATTTAATGAAATCCCCACTAAAATCCCAACTCAATTCTTCACCGAGTTAGAAAGAGAAATTCTCAAATTCATTTGGAATAACAAAAAACTCAGGATAGCAAAAATTATTCTCAACAATAAAATCTTCTGGAGGAACCACCATCCCTGACCTCAAGCTGTACTACAGAGCAATAGTGATAAAAACTACATGGTATTGGTACAGAGACAGGCAGGAAGATCAGTGGAATAGAATTGAAGACCCAGAAATGAACCCATACACCTATGGTCACTTGATCTTTGGCAAAGGAGCTAAAACTGTCCTGTGGAAAAAGGACAGCATTTTCAACAAATGGTGCTGGTACAACTGGAGGACAAAGTATAGAAGAATGCTAATTGATCCATTCTTATCTCATTGCACAAAGCTCAAGTCCAAGCGGATAAAGGACCTTCATGTAAAACCAGATACATTGAAACTAATAGAAGAGAAGGTGGGGAAGAACCTTGAATACCTGGGCACAGGGGAAAAGTTTCTGAACAAAACACCAATGACTTATGCTCTAAGATCAAGAATTGACAAATGGGACCTCATAAAATTGCAAAGTTTATGTAAGGCAAAGGCCACTGTCAATAGGACAAAACGGCAACCAACAGATTGGGAAAAGATCTTTACCAATCCCACATCCAATAGAGGGCTAGTATCCAATATATACAAAGAACTCAAGCAATTAGACTCCAGACAACCAAATAACCCTATTAAAAAATGGGATACAGAGCTAAACAAAAAATTCTCAACTGAGGAAACTCTAATGGGCAAGAAGCACCTAAAGAAATGTTCAGCATCCTTAGTCATCAGGGAAATGCAAATAAAAACAACCCTGAGATTCCACCTCATACCAGTCAGAATGGCTAAGATCAAAAACTCAGGTGATAGTAGATGCTGGCAAGGATGTGGAGAAAGAGGAACTCTCCTCCATTGTTGGTGGGATTGCAGGATGGTGCAACCATTCTGGAAATCAGTCTGGTGGTTCCTCAGAAAATTGGACATAGCATTACCTGAGGATCCAGCTGTACCACTCCTGGGCATATATATACCCAGAAGATGCTCTAACATATAACAAGGACATATGCTCCACTATGTTCATAGCATCCTTATTTATAATAGCCAGAAGCTGGAAAGAACCCAGATGTCCTTCAACAAAGGAATGGATTCAAGAAATGTGGTACATTTACACAATCGAGTATTACTCAGCTATTAAAAACAATGAATTTGAGAAATTCTTAGGTAAATGGATGGAACTAGAAAATATCATCCTGAGTGAGGTGACCCAATCACAAAAGAACACACATGGTATGTACTCACTGATAATCGGATATTAGCCCAGAAGCTTGAAATACCCAAGATTCAACTCACAGACCATATGAACCTCATAAAGAAGGAAGACCAAGTGGGGGCGCTTCGGTCCTTTTTAGAAGGAGTAACAAAATATTCAAGGGAGCAAATATGGAGACAAAGTGTGGGACAAAAACTGAAGGAGGGGCCGTCTGGAGACTGTTCCACCTGGGTATCCATCCCATGTGCAGTCACCAAAGGTAGATGCTGATGTGGATGTCAGGAAGTATATGCTGACAGGAGCCTGATATAGCTGTCTCCTTCTATGTCTGCCAGAGTTTGACATATTCAGAGGCAGATGCTCACAGCTAACCATTGAACTGATCAAGGGGTTCCCAATGGAAAGGGTTAGAGAGAAGGAGCTGAAGGAGCTGAAAGGGTTTGCGGCCCCATGAGGAGAGCAACAATACCAACCAACCAGAGCTCCCAGGGTCTAAACCACCAGCCTGGGAGCACTTAGGGAGGGATCCATGGCAAAAACAAAACAAAACAAAACAAAACAAAACACTGTGTGTGCTACTCTTTGCAGAGACCTGAGTTCAATTCCTAGTCCCCACGTCAGGTGGGTCACTATTTATAATTTCAGTTTCAGAGTATGCAACCTCTCTTTGGACACATGCACTCACATACAGGGCCACATACATACACACACACACACACACAATTTTTTTTGTTGGTCCCCAAGGTTTTTAATAAAAATCATTCTTTTTGTACTGACTTTTAAAAAATGCTGTCTTAAGGGCACACAACACATTCCAGAGACAAAACAAGACTGGTTGGGAAAGATGGCTGGAAAGCCAGGGTTGACAACACAGGTTCAATTCCTGGGACCCACACAACATAAATTAATTCGGTACATTACCCCATAATCTTAGGCTCACATACACCTTGCACGAAAAATGAGACCTAACACCTTAGCTTTGTAGTTAAAAGCCACAAACAAGCTGGGCAGGGTGACACACACATTTAATTGCAACACTAGGGAGGTGGCTTCTGAGTTCAAGGCCAGCCTTAATCTACAGACAGAACAAGCAGCACCACAGAGACACCATCTCAAAAAAAACAAAAACAACTCCCCCACAATCCTAACTAACTAATACACTGACTTCTGTGAAAAGAATGTTTCACATACTTCTAATTACCCACGTTCCCAGAACAGAGGTTCTCAGATTAATTCCCTAGATCCAAAAATTCCACCCATGGGGCAGACAACAAAACGGAAAACCAAAACCTGGAGGCAGTACTGCAACTTTATTTGACATTCAGCAGGTTAGTTCTCATCCACATTGACCGTCTGTAGATTTTTGAATGTGGTAACAGGCACATAAGTTACCAACGTGTAGAGCTTGTTTGGTGAATCCTCATCTTCATTACGTTTTCTGGACAAATGTACTCGGATGCGATATGGAACATTCCTTATTCCCTGGCCCAGACGGCTTTATTGAGCCTGGTGTCAATGCACACATCTGGAGTCCCCATTTCCTTCATGGCAAACTTCCTAATTTCTTTGAGTGCCCGAGGAGCACGCTTCTTGAAGCCCACTCCATGGATGCGCTTGTGAATGTTGATGGTGTATTCTCGGGTCACCACCTCGTTGATGGCAGAACGGCCTTCTTCTTCTTGCCACCCTTCTTTGCGGGAGCCATTCTGCCGGGCCAAAGTTGGAAAGGAAGGGCACAAGGCCACACAGTTTTTGTTTTTTTTTTTTAAAGTAAATCTTATTTTCAAAAAAGCATTCAGTATATGTCACATAATTCAAACACAGAGTTCTTTGAGTTGCAGTTTGAACAAGTAATTTCTTTAAACTATTTCTGCTTTGGTAATATTTAGTAACCACTGTTGATTTTAAGTATAGTTTTATTGCAGATATATTTTTTAAAGTTCTTTTAGCAGTATCTATAGAAGTACTTATCAGTGGAATTATATGGTGACTGTTGCTTCTGACTAACTAGAACACCTGTGAGTCTGAGCAGAGGAAACAAGATGGCTGCAGGAGATAACGCTGGACTTGGGCAGTGGCATATAATATGCATTATATGGTTTCTCTCTTCTTTTGAATGTTTGAAATTTTCCATGAGGTCGAGTTAAAATTCCATCCAGCTTTCCCTTATTTTTACCTACTGTCTCCACAGACTTCTTCAAAAAGAATTCTAAAAGATTTCTCACGGTCCCAGGAAATTACTCCTGGGCACATCTAGTTTTTAAATGTATTGTAGTCATTGACATGCCTGACATTCAAGTTTATTTAATGAAGGCAACTGTTGTGATGGTTGTAGCTGGTTTTATGCAGCTAGGCTGTCCTATCTGTGAATTTTCCTGGAATGCTCAAGTATGAAGTTTACCAGACGTCTGCCACTTCAGTGTCCTCCAAACCTCCAAACTGATGTGTTGCCTTTCTGTTCTACAGAAGCAGCAAATGGGACCAGTGGCCATGGTGGAAAGAGCAGCACATCCGGTTCCACCCCATCTCATCCTGGGAACTACTCTTTGTCACCAAGACCTACCTATACATCCATAGATCAAGGTACAATGTGTGTGTGTGTGTGATGTGTGTGAAGGTCCAAAGTCTCAAAGTCTACATTAGTTGTCTTCCTCTATAGCTCTGCACATTATCCTTAGAGACAGGATCTGTCGATGAACCTGGAGTCCACAGTCTTGGCTAGACTGGCTGGTCAGTGAGCCACAGGATCCTCTTGTCTATACAGTATTGATTTTAAAGGCTTATTCCTCTGTGCCTGGCTTTCTTATATGAATTCAGAAGGTTGTTCTCAGGTCCTTGTGTTTATGTGTCACTTTGCCAACTGAATCATCCCTTTAGCCCAGTGCTACAGATTTTTGAATAATTGATTATCTGAAATACACACTGTAGTCTTCCCTTTGCTTAAAAGACAACATTTTAAGATTTCATGATTGATGTGAATAGTAACTGTTAAATGAGTTAGTGATATCACATGGAAGAACCTAACTGGGAAATAAGTGTTTAATCAAAATTATAGTCTTGAAAACTCAGATCTGTCTTTTACTTACTAAAGTACAGAACTCTGTGCTAAAAGAGTTGCATGGCATTAAATACTTTTTCTCCATTTACCCAGTAGATTTGTCCCTCAACTTAACATGGATGTCAATAGAATCAAGTGGAGTAAACTGTTTCCCATTGTAAACTGTAAAATACCATATGGTTACAGTTATCAGAGTAGCTTTGTCTAACTCTTCCATTGCCTACAGGAGAGTGACTCAGACCCCTGTGTAAATCAAAGGAAAGGTCCTATGAGCACTTGGTATTCTTTCTTTCTTCCCCATTGCTGAGGACAAAGCTGTTGTTCCTTTTTGTTTTCAGCTAACATGTTCATTTCTGGCCCACCAAAGAAACGGCACCGGGGATGGTACCCTGGGTCACCCGTCTCCCAGTCTACTCTAGTCGTGCCAGTTCCCACAGTTCGTCCTCTTTCAAGAACTGGTGAGATTTTAACTGATGATGTATTTAAACATTTCTCTTTAATTAGCAGTGATAAGTTCTTCTCCTGCTCATATCTTCTGAAGGTAAGCACCCTGAATCAATCATTGTCATTAGCAGTAGTATGTAAGGGTCTTAGTGGTAGCTGATATTGTGTTTCCATAACATTATCCTTCCCTATAAGTTCATGTACTACTACAACTGACCTTAGTTTTAACCATGTAATTGATGAGCCATTTGCAGCATAGGTCCTGATGCTACTACCGCAGGGCACATGTGGACTTGCTTTGTCAGAGTGGTGCTAGAGTTGACCTGCTGTAATTTGTCCTCTGTGTGACACTTCTTGGTTACTCTGGCCTCATGGTTTAGTCTGTAGCTATACTACAAAGAGCTACTTGGCTCTCCATAGTCTCCAGACTGTGTCTAAAGGTGTCCTCAACTAAGTGTGCAGACAGTTGTCCATCTGTCCTACCAAATAGACAGCGACAAGTGCTCCAACCCTAAGAACTAGGTAGGGATCTTTACAATTTCTAATTTGCTTAAGTAGTTGAAGATGGTATAGAAATCTCATATGTGCAAAGAACTATGGAATGTGTCACAGTTGCTTCTAGGTAATGAGTGTCATGGTTCTGTTTCTAGCTTTGTGTATAGAAATCCACACCTTTGGTTACTTGGGGGTGGTAAATATGAAATACAACGTTAAATCCACCAGAATGCTCAGGGGTCATGATCTACAGTGATGTGATTACAGTTGAATTGTTTTCTTCTGTTTTCTTCTAATTTTCTGTAATGTATATGTTAAATTAAAAAACAAAAATGATTGAACTTCTAAACCATCTCTTTAAAGTATTAAAACTGTAGTGATTTCTGAAGTTTTTCTGTTAGCCCCATGCCTAATCTTTCTTGTCAAATAATCTTTTTCTTTCCAGAGCCCCTTTTATCTACCCCAGTTCCACAGACCCCATTAACTGGAATTCTCCAGCCTCGGCCTGTCCCTGCAGGGGAAACTGTGATTGTTCCTGAAAATCTGCTGAGTAACTCAGGAGTTAGACCAGTTATCCTGATAGGTACTGTGGAGGAATTTCATGTCTAGTCTTCAGTGTCTCTAGTCCCTGCTCTGTGGGCTTATTTACAATCTCATGAGTATATCTGTCTGTCTTTATTGGCTGTATCAGCTTTCTTTGGCTAGCCCCTCTATGTCGTATTAAGGACATGATTTAAAACTCTGAGAATAAGGCATTATCCCTCAAGAATCTCTCTCTATCCAATGGGGGAGTCTGTCTGACCCTTCATTAGAGTCAGTAAACAGCTATCACTACACACTCTGGTAACACTGTGACACATTGGAATATGAGAGGTGGCAGAGGTTCACAGCCAAGAGCTTTGAGAAGTCTTGAGAAAGAGGGCTTACTGCTCCCTGAAGGAATCTTAGAAAATCTTCAGACTAAACTTCAAGCTGTGTACAGAAGCCTGCTCAAAGTGTGCCTGTTGAGGAAGGGGGACAGTCTAGTCAAAAGAAGCCAAATGTCAAAGAAAAGAAATAAACTAAGCCAACTGACAGACCTCACTTCAGAAAACCAGGACCAGGAACCCCACTGGGAGCCATCTCTCTCTGTGAGTCAGCACCACTGTGGAGTCTGACCCTCCCTGGCTGCTGACTGCAGTGAAATTATAGTTGTTTAGTGGTCTAAATTCTAAGATTCCAATTCTTACATTCTAAACTGAGTTGAGTACCTTTCATACCCATATCTGAAGGCCTTGTCAGGTAGGTCTAGACCAAAAGGTGACTGCCTGTTTTCTTTCCATGATAAGGCAGGTGGGTTTTATTAACATGAGTCACTCTTTGCTCTTGTGGCTGGGCTGACTCTGTTGTCTTGGGTGTTTTTACTTTAGGCCCTGTTCTTTATCAGTCACTCTATCCTCTGATTCTGGGTCTGGAGGTATTAGAGGGAATCCCAGTGGTTTAAATTCCATGTGACTCAAGAGGTCATCAACAAATAATGCAGCTAAGCCTTAAAAAGAAGAAGAATGTGGGCCTTTTTGTTCCTTTAGCATTTGGCTTGTAGAAAGTCTCACAGAGGCCATCTGTGGTGGCACACACTTTTACAACATGGGAGGTAGAGGCATGGAGATCTCTATGAGTTTAAGGCTATAACGGGGTCTACATAATGAGTTCTATCCAGAGCTCCTTAGTGGGACCATGTCTCAAAAGAAAAAGAAAGGAAAGCAAGCCTCAGAGAGAGATGATTTTCTTTCCTGTACCATAGGAACAAGGTGAGGTGCCTTTCAGCATATGTCTATCCTGGGGTACTTTGAAACATCCCTGACATTCAGAAAAAGTAACAGAAAACACCAATATGAAGGCTAAAATAATGAATCACTTGTTAAGAGCACTTACTGCTCTTGTAGAGGATCCAGGGTCCATTCCAAGCACCCATGTAATAATGCACAACTATCCTTAACTCCAGTTTCAGGGGACCCAGCATCGTATTCTGAACTCCATGGGCACCAGACATACATAGACCATACATGCAGGCAGAATACACATACATGTAAAAATCTGCCAAAAACAAACAAAACAAAAACTAATGTTGTAAAACAAGAAGGAAATCTCTAAGCCCTTGCAACTGGTCAGTAGAATGTGGTCTACCACTGAGTTTAGCTTACCTTTCCCCACCTCCCAGAGCACTGGAGAAGTGAGAGGTTAGCATGGCTTGTTTTTTCATCTGGAAAGAAAGTTGATGAGGAACTATTTATTGCCACATCGATCTTCTGAGACAGAACTGTAATGTTAGCAGTATCCCTCCTCCTGTGGGAAAAACATCATGTAACCGGAGTGGCTCATCTCAGTTTCTATAGAATGGTAAACACATAGGTGAATCCCTGAAGGTGGCTGTCTCAGAGGGCAGAGGATGCCTGAGTGCCCTCATGTCTCACTGAGCTGGTATGCCTGACTGGAACCCAGAAACGCTGAGCTAACTGACTTGTGTCTTTTGGGGCAGGCTATGGCACTTTACCCTACTTCTATGGAAATGTTGGTGACATTGTTGTGAGTCCTCTACTGGTGAATTGCTACAAGATTCCACAGTTGGAAAACAAAGATCTGGAACAATTAGGGTTAACTAGCACCCATCTCTTGAGTGTGGAGAACATGATCCTTCTGACGATACAGTACCTTGTACGGTTAGGTAAGTTGTTCTCCAGAGTCATCGGCTGGGAACCCTTGAAACTGCTTTTCAGAATGCTCTGTATCCATTTTCAATCCATCTGCCTGCCTGGCTCGTGGTCTCTTTCTTTTGTTTCTAAGTTTCTTTCCTTCTACCCAGTCTTCTGACTTTTTCCTTTCCTCCCTTTTCTCCATTTCTTGTCATAAAAGAGACAAATTGCTCCCTCTAGTGTCTAGTCTCCTGATGCTTTCTAACCTCCCAAGGCACTAGCTTTGCTAGGGGTTCCCTAGCAAAAGAGAAGGAAGAGGTAAGGGGGGGTCACAAAGGTCATGAACCCTTCACTTCCTCTGAACCTACAGTGAATGTGTGCAGGTGTCCTGACAGCACTGGGGCTCAGCCACATTTCTATTGAAATCTCCTTTATTTTGCAAACTGCAGTGGGCCATCAAATATTCAGGCTAATTACATATTCACTCTGGGATTTCACGCCATTGATTTACTTAGGAAAATGTTTGAGGTGCAAATTTTCATATAAAAACTTTTGTATTACTCATGAAGTTTTTTTTTAATGTTACAAAATACTGTGGTGTTAAGAAACCACAAAAATACTGTGATAGTATTTAAAAATCAAAAATTTCAATAAGCCAGGTACTTCCAAAATTATGTATCAACACTGGCAAGGACCCTTAATTTCCCAGGAGACTTCTTGATGTGGGTTCTGCCCTGGCAGGGGTTTTAAAGCCATTTTTTCCATGAAACCTGCTTTCATAATAAACCTGTAACTTGAAAACCTTACTGTTGATAAGTAATAAAGTTATTTAAACTACCTCATTCCGGCTCATTTGATGTCATAAATTTAATTACTATACTCTGGCTGCCTTCTAAGACAAGAAAGTCACCTTCAGATCCCCAAATCAGAGAAGACAGTGCTATGCAGAGCAACACTTTTAGTCAAGCAAAGCAGATCACATCACCAGAGAAACCAGGGTCCTAGTGAGTTTAGTAAGCCATATGATAAAAATATAAGTTCTTCTTTCCAGTTATTAAACCCTCTTAACTTAAAGATTTCTGATTTAATTAAACAAGATTCTTTTTTCTCTTTAGGATCAATTCTCTCCAGAATTTTACTTCCAGTCATTAGTTCTGCTTGTATACAGCATAAACACCTCACCATCCTTCCTCTCTCCCTCCATTTTTCCCTCCCTCCCTCTCTCCTTCTTTCCTATCCTCCCTGCTTTCCTTCCTTTCAGCTAGGTGTGTACTTCTCTGTCCTCCAACAAATTGTTCTGGTGTTCATGAAAAAAATTTATTCTGTCCCTATAAGTTTAAGAGGCAGCAAGAATATTTTCACACATGCATTTCATATAGACATTTTAAAAAATATCCAAACTTCTAAAATATCCAAACTTCATAAAAATATAGACATTTTAAAAATATCCAAACTTCTAAAATGACAGCTTTAATACTTTGTATCTCCAAGTACTAACATGGAAAAAGAAAAGCAAGATTCTTCTGAAAGAAAGAGCCTTTCTATAACAATCACATAAATTTTTTTGTGTTATTTCACACTGTAAAAAGCCCTTTGAAGTACATAATGGAATCAGCAAATTCAGGTGGGCTCTGGTCTGTTGGAATTGTTTCTTCCTATTATGGTAGCTCCATCTAAGAAGCCATCAGAGCTGATGCTCTGGGAGATAGCTCTCAAAGGGAAAATTACCATTATTGGACTTGGAAGAGGTGGCTAAAAGGCTTCTAGAATCCAGTCTGGACGGAGAGTGGTAGAGACGGAGAAGAGGGGGTGCATGTGCTGCTCTAAAAGGTCATCTCTCATCTGAACTGAATGTCCCCCATTTTTTTTCTTAACAGTAATTCAATCAAAACTTTACAAATGAATTTTAAGATAACAAAGAATGCTGGGAATGTGTTATACCACTTTATTTTCTCCCAGGTGCCTTTGCATGGATTCATTGGTTTTCAATAGATGATGCTAGAAAATGGAGACCAAGCCTGCTTTTCATTTGCCATGTGCTCTGGTGGAATCAGACTATAAAAATGATGACTTTCCCTTCAGTTTTTAGTTGAAATTCAGCCACTTTGAGCTCACTACACAGTATGAATTCCATGGCTACAAACCACAATTCTAATTTGTTAAAGGTTAATGAAGATCAGAGTTAAATGAGTCTCAACTGACCTAACAACAACAACAAAGCCAAGAATCCCACTCACTGTTCACTTCACCTAGCAAGAGGCATTGTCAAGAAGGACATGAGAAACCAACGTTTTAGGCTAGGTGGCTGGAATCCTAGGGATCAACCCAAAGCTCACTCACAATAGTGCCAGGTTATGCTCTAACTTTTGAAGCAAACATACTGTAAGCATTACTGTTTTCTTCTAGTTTCTATATACAGAAACAAACACCTATCTATGAGGTTCCCATTTTCTTCTCCTTCACTCTCAACTAGTTCTAGAAAAGTGACTCTTCCTATATAAAATACTTATTTTTAGACTGTGTTATATTTTGTATAATCCCACTTGTCTTTAAAACAGAGCCAGGAGCACACTTAACTTGCATCAGAGGAAGGAATGGTTTCTGACCCTCTGTGTCCCCTCCTTCCAGGGAGAACACAGAGCCTCTTTGTGTTGTAGCCTGGGGTTCTAAAGCCAGTGCTTAGCCTCAGATCACAGATACTAAAGAGTCTGCTCCTGCAAACAGGAGTCCTTGAGTTTCAAGTCTCCAATTCATATGGGAGGTAGGGAACAAGTCACTATATCCCCTAGGTTTAAGTTTAAACTAAAGGTAGAAGTCTTGGTTAATTTGTACCAACTGGATGCTTGCTTATTTTGTTGTATAGACTGGTTAAGTTTCTAAAGAGAATAAAAAACAAAATCTCTCTAATTTCAGGGGCAACTAGTCATCAGTATAAGCTTACTCAACTTTGGCTGGGGAAAGAGGCCGAATGTCGCGTTTGACAATCCAGAGTTCAGGAGACAATGAGATGACCGAGCAGTCTCTGCTCGGAGAGAGTTGTGAACTGTGAAATATGTAAATTGGAAATGAAAAAATGATTCATTTCCCTGTGGATAATGTCAAAATTAGATGGAGACAATCCATTACAGTACTTTCAAAGTATCCATGACTAAAATGAGAAATGAATAGAACCTAAAATTGATTACACACCAGTGTGTTATCTCATTTATTAGTCATCAGACTCCGTAATGTCAAGATTTGAAAGTGATTATTTCTCAGGGCATGCAACAGAATGGGTCTTGTATCTTTGCAAATCCTTCTTGGAAGAGAACATTACTAGAGTACAGGAGAACAGAGCTAGGGCTCTAAAAATTGAGGTCAGAGAGAAGTGAAAGAGAAATTTGCAGTGTGTGGTTAGTATGAGCTGTGGCTTGGGACCACTGTAAGACAGTGTTTACTTGCTAGCTGGAGTGTGGTGGGCTTACATGAACTGTGGGGTGCTAGGTACTAGGTATTTTGTCATCTCTGATTGTCTAAATTCTAACTGTAATTCTCATCAATATAGGTCCTGACCAGATACCTCTCAGGGAAGAATTTGAGCAGATCATGCTGAAAGCTATGCAGGAATTTTCTGTGAGAGAGAGAGCCCTGCCTTTGGGTGCTCCATGTGCACCCATGTCACCAGCACAGCTCCCCTGGCTTGCTAGATTAGCTGCCAGTGTGTCTCAGGACCTGGTTCATGTGATTGTGACCCACAACTCTCTATCAGAAGGCATTTCGGAGACACTGAGGATTCTCAGTGAAATGAAACATTATCAAAGGCTGCCAGATTATGTCGTGGCAATTTGTGCCTCAAAAATCAGAGGGAATGAATTTTGTGTCGTGGTGTTAGGTGAGTGGGTTTGGGCCTTTGTTTGTTTGTCTTATCACTTGTTTAATGAATTCATTCTGTCATCTGTATTCGAAAAATAACAATTGGGTATTTCCAGCATCCACATAATTATTCTCTGATTAATGGCTGTGGCTTGGATTTCTCTCCCAATTTTAACTTTCTTTCTCAAATCAAAGCCCTCAGTGTGGCTGCACCTGGTTCTGGAGACATTCTTTTAAAGCAGAATGCTCTCATCACATGTAACTTCTGTCCTTAAAAGATTGTATACGTGTTGGGGGTGGAAAGATGGCTGTGCAGTTGAAAGCACTTGCTGCTCTTGCAGAAGACCTGGGCTTAATTCCCAGCATCCACATGGCAGCTCATAACAGTCTATGTTATCCCTCCAGTACTAGGGGATCCAACACCCTATTCTGATTTTCAAGATCCTGCATGCACACATACACACACTCACACATATACTGCGCATAAAAATAAAAAACCAAGTTAATTGTAAAGGTTTCACAAGTCTTCACAAGTCTTAACCATTCTGTCGTGTGATAAAGCACCTGTGTCAGCCAGTTATATTTGCCAGAAACTCTCCACACAGAAGAGGCTACTCTATCACACCCAGGAAACCTTCAGAAAGTAGAGCAGCAACTAAATGTGCCCTGTGCTGACTCTCAGAGGGCTGTCCTCAGAGCCACCAGTACCCAGACTTCCATCTCTCCTGTCTTCACTGTTCCTACCAAAAAGATCAGATCCCAGCATTACTCATAAACATGCATTGGCCAAACCATCTGCCCACTCCCATGTCAGGGCTTCAGAAAGCTTTTCCAGGCTGTGATCATTATTATTTTTAATTCTAAAAGTAATTCTGTATAAGTTTACATTTTTAAGGTAAGTACTTACAACAACCATGTAAATACACTGTTACATTTTCTATGGATTTCTCTAACCACATGTGTATGTTTTTATAGTTACAAACATAAAATACACTATTTTCCCCTCAGTCACCTGGCATCATGAAGATTTTGTTGTTGCTGCTGCTGCTACTGCAGCTGCTGTTGTAGACAATCTTCAGATTGATGTTTTGTATGCACATCTTTCAACATGCTGTAACCTTCTTAATCAAGTCCCTGTAGTTTTAGACTTTTGTGGTCTCTGACGATGTCCATCATAATTAGTGTTGTAGCAAGCATTAGTTTTAGTGATGAGTTATTCCTCTGTTCTCTTTCAGGTCAGCATCAGTCCCGGGCCCTGGCAGAGAGCATGCTTACCACAAGTGAGTTTTTGAAAGAAATCAGTTATGAGCTCATCACAGGAAAGGTCAGCTTCCTGGCATCACATTTCAAAACAACGTCATTAGGTGAGTGGTTGTAAGACTGAGCCGCCCTGCCAGGACTAGTTGCGTGATTGTCTGAATTTAAGTCTTAGCCTGTCGGGAAGGTGGGGCTTAAGTTTTCTGGCAGAGATTTCCTTTGGAATGGTTTAATCCTTACTCCTCCTGGTGACTAACACGACAGGAAGCTTGTGAGGTCTAAGACACAAGGATGCCAGGATTAAAGCCTCAACTCAAATGTAACTTTGTTGTTTGGGCTTTTTTTTCTCTCTCTCCCTGGATCTTTTTTTTTTTTTTTTCAATATGGCAGATAGAACCATAACAGTACGTTTGGCCTACTATTGTATATAAAGCCAGCCAACAGAGAGCCAATGTTGAAAGTGTGTTGGTTGTAAGCATGCACCTACAAAGGTAGATATCATCTAGAAAAGCTCTTTCTGTACAAACACCACAGCAGAAATGGCCATGTAGGAATTCTGACATAATTCTAGGTCATCTTAAATTTTTGATGAGAACCCAGCCCAGTTGCCTAATTTGGATACTGATAAGAACTACTCAGCATGTTGCTCATTACAGTCTTCTTAAATTTACTTTATTTTGACATAGGTGATGACCTGGACAAGCTGCTTGAAAAAGTGCAACAAAGAAGAGGAGACAGTGTGGTCACCCCTTTCAATGGTGACCTTAACGAGTGTGTGTCACCTCAGGAGGCTGCTGCTATGATTCCCACACAAAACCTGGGTAATGTGGCCTGAGGCTGAGGGAAGGGCCCCTGGGACAGGTATTGTAGAAGCTTTAAAAAAAAAAAATCCTCAAGGCACAGACTACAGCAGGCTTTTCATTGTTGTCTACATGATAAATTGAGTTCTGACTGACAGTGCTTTGCTGTGTCCTTCTCCTCAGTAAGAGTCCTTTCCCTGAGAGACTCTTGTTTAGTTGCGTTTGGTGGTATCTTTTAGCCTCAGGAAGTTCCTCTTTTTGCCAGGAATGGTTTTAGGAATCCTCAGTTTTATTTCATTTTGTGTGTGTGCTGAGACAGGATTTTATTAGCCCAGACTGGCTGAGTCTAGTTTGAACTCTTGATCCTCTAGCCTCTAACTCCAAAATTCTGGGATGACAGGCACCACTGGCTGGACCCTCAGTATTGTTTCCTTAGTTGTAATGCAGAGAATTGCCGAGCTTGTAGGGAGCGTCAGAGAACTTAAGAAACCATCTAGACTGCAAGCTGTGCAGGACTGTGTCTCTCACTTTCCCCTGACTTATAAAACCTCAGGCCCAGGGAGTATGAGGCCTTCCAGGCAGCAGAACAGTCTTACCTACACATCATCTGCCCTGCAAGTCAGAGCCCCATGGTGGGCAGTAGGCTGGGGAAAAAGGAAGCAGATCTCACCTCCTTGTCAAAACAAATGTGAATATGGGCCACAAAGTGTCTTGACTTCTAGACAGTATTTGGAAATACAGCAGTCATTCATTTAGACAATCTAAAATGAGTTTATATGAACTATTTTGAATTGTTAATAAGTTTAGAGTTTGCTCAGCAGGTAAAGGCTGCTTGTAGCCCAAGCCAGGGAACTGAGTTAGATCCTAGAACACACATAAAGGTGGAAAAAGAGAGCCAGCTGCTTTGACCTCCACACATGTAATCACACACACCACCACATTATACATACATGTGTAATAATAATTATTAGTTAATTAAATATTTTTTAATTCTCAAAATACATACAGCTCTTTAAGTACATCCTTGGTTTCCTGTTTAAGAAAGGTTGTTTGAAGCAGGGTGCTGGTAGCAGACATCTTTCATCCTGACAGCAAGTTCGAGGCCAACCTGGTCTATAGAGTTAAGTTCCAGGACAACCAAGGCTACATAGAGAAACCCTGAACCCCTGCCTTGGAAAACCAAAAACCAACCAATCAAACAAAATGTTGCTTGAAGGAACTGGAGAAACATCTCAGGAGTTAAGGGCCCCAGCTGATTTTCAGAGGACCAGGCTTTCATTTTAGAACCCACACAAACTCCCAACTATTTGTGACTCCAGTCCAGGGGATCAAATGCCTCCTCTGGCCTCTGAGGGAACCAGACACATGTATGTTACCAAAACACTAGACACATTTTAAAAAAAATAATAATATTTTTAAGTTTAAAAAGAAATGTAAGCCAGGAATGGTGGTGCATGCTTTTAATCTCAGCACTTGGGAGGCAGAGCCAGACAGATCTTTGTGAGTTCAAGGCCAGCTTGGTTTACATAGTGAATTCCAGGACAGCCAGGGCTACATAGTGAGACCTCGTCTCAAAAGATCTAAATGAATAAATAGAATAAATTAAATGTTGCTTGAAATCAGCAAGATGGCCCCATAGGTAAAAGCAACTACCACCAAACCTGTTGACCTCAGTTCAAATCCAGGGCTTGCATGGTAGGAGAGAGCCAGCTCCTAATGCTGTCTTATCACCTCCACATGTGTGCTGTGGCACGTGGGCACATACACACATACATACATCCACCAACACTAAAAGTTATAATAAAACATTTACAAAAATACAAACTTCAGAGTTTGCTAAGTTAAACTATACATACAAATCTATATATACATTTAGTTCCCAATCAGCCTACGAACTAAGGAACTCATAACTTATTTATGTTGGAAGATGGGTTTCTTTCATTGGTAGATTTTTTTATTTTATTTTTTACTTGTGTGTATGTGTGTGTTTGTGTAAATGTGTGCCAGATATGTTCAGGTGCCCACAGGTTCAGAAGATGGTGTTGGGTCCTCCAACATTGTAGACATGGGTGCTGTGAATCAAACCCTGTTGTTCTGCAGAAGCAGTGTTTTTTCTTAACTGCTGAGACATCTCTTCAACCTCTCAATTGTAGTCTTCGTGGGGGAAATGGGGAAAAATTATATAGAGGAAGGAAAGATGGCTTAATGGTTAAGAGCACTGGTTGCTCTTCCAGAAGACCGCAGTTCAGTTCTGAGCACCTACGTGGTTACTTACAAATGTCTATAGCACCAGTTCCAGGGGATCTGGTGTGCTCTTCTGGCCTCCTTGGGCAATAGGCATGCAGATGGTACACAAGCATATATGCAAGCAAACACTCATGTGCAAAATTTTTAAAAACTTAAAAATTATTTCCAGTAGCATTACTTTCTCTTTTCTGACCCTGGGAATCATACTCAGGCCTTATATACACATCTAGAGGTGTACCCTGCTGCTGAGCTGTTCTCTTAACTCTGCTGTTCAAGCTCATAGGATCAATCTCAGTCAGTTAGTTCTTTCTGCCAGCAAGAAGCCCCCTGTGTCCAGAGTAGCTAGAGTATTGTAAGTACTGGATGCCTCAGCTACACCTAAGTTGAGTTTAGACAACTTTCATTAGCACTGGTTAATTAGGCCCTTGAGATTGTGTTTCAGTCAAACTGCTAACATGTGTCCCTGATAGGATGCAACCCTTTTAAGAGATGTGGCAGCTGCCTGCCCAGGCATTTTGTTGTCTGTGGGGATTGATGGCTTGGTAAGAACTTGTAAGAAAGGGTTACTGGCATGCACAGAGTATCCGGACAGTGTTTTTGCAGTATATCACCTACTAAGAGGCCAGCTGCCTGTGTCACAAGGCAAGTAGGTCTCTTTGGGTGGTCGTGGTGTGAACACTGTAGTGACTACATGTCCTAGGCCTGCCAGGTCACAGGTGCTGGCAGAGCCAAGCCAAACAGAAAGAAAAGTGAAGGTTGTGTCTCTGGCCTGTGCTGTCATAGAGAGGGGATTTCAGGTCATGTTGCAGCTGACTTGCTGATGAAGAAGAAATGTTTACTGTGGTATCATCCAGAAAAATTCAAAGGAATCTTATAGTATTGTAGCTATGGCATTGACTCCCCCCTAGACAGGCCTGGGCAATGCTGAGAAGCCTAAAGAGTTGAATACACACTTCTTGCAGCTGGGTCCCAATATAGCTGTGACACTGTAGTCTGTTTCCACTATTAGCAAAAGGGTTGTAATACAATCTCTCAGTTTTTAAGTAATTTGCTTGTAAAACTGTCATATCCCATTCTTGAGCATATCTTCTCAGCCAGTTTTTAGGGGGAAATAGGCAAATCCATAAAGCTCAGTATCGAATGAGAATAGCATGTGGGAAGTCTCGGTTGTGAAACATTGATTTTCCCTTGTGTTTTACGTCTTCATATGGATTCAATAGTGCTTGTCGAAGAACTAAATTAATATTATTCTTATGACTTTTTTTAATTTTAGATGTAGATAACGAAACCTTCCAAATTTATCAACCACAGCTCACAGTTGCCAGAAGACTCTTATCCCAGGTGTGTGCGATCGCAGACAGTGGCAGCCAGAGCCTGGACCTCGGCCACTTTAGCAAAGTGGACTTCATCATCATTGTCCCAAGGTCAGAGGTTCTGGTCCAGCAAACTCTGCAGCGTGTTCGACAATCAGGTGAGAATGGGACTTTCTCTGAGTTTCTATTTAGTTCCAGACCCAGAGACCCTTTACCTCTTTCTCTCACTTAGTCCAAACACTTAAAAGACATTTAAAACATTCTTCAGTAGTGAAAATCACAAAAGCATTTGAATGAATATTTAATTTATCTGTAAGCTTTCTCCTAGACCTTTTTCCCTTAGAGGCCAAGACTAAAATTGATTTGTGTGTTTGTCAGACACTTTAAGTCAGTGACGTCATGCGTGGTGCTGCAATCTGGTCATTCACTGTTGAGGGAAGTCTAGCCTGTCCGGGATGCTGGGTCAAAACCTCTTAAATTCTTCCTAGGTTCACAGGTCATTTCTGAGTTCTCAAACATTTAGCAGGTTGCCAGAACATTTTCAACACAGACGCCACCTTGCACTTTAGCAGCAAGAAGCCAAGTTAAAATTATCTCCAAGAACATAGATACCAGATTCAAATACATTTCCCTCTAGAAGATGGAAATGGTAGAAAGCAAAGATTTTACAAGTCTGTGGTAAATATAATCTCTTCATGAAATAAAATTTGCTTAGAATATCTAAAAAGCTATAGAGTTTGGAAAATTGGGACAGCTAAGCAAATTCTGGTTTTCATGTGAACCTGGATTTTATTGTTTCTTTTGTCTATTTGGTTGGTTGGTTGGTTGGTTGGTTGGTTTTTGGTTCTTTGAGACAGGGTTTGTCTGTGTGGCCCTGGTTGTCCTGACACCTGTTTTGTAGATCAGACTGGCATTGAACTCAGAGACCTATCAACCTCTGTGTCTCAAATGCTGGGATTAAAGGTGTGTGCTACCTCTGCCTGGCTTAAACCAGATTTAAAAAGAAAAATTTAAGTATCATATTCCTTCTGATTATCTTACCTGAAGGAAAGACACAGATTTTTGATGGAGGATAGATCTTTTTGTCACATTAAAGAATTGTATTTGAAAACAGAAAATTTAATGAATTCAAATTTCTAAAAATGTAGTTTATAGATTCCATCCCTATAGACAGTGTCTATCAAACTTTATATAGACTTCCAGAGAATCTTTTAAAATTCAGGCTCCCCTCAATAGTCTAGGGAACCCCCAGACTGTATTTTCTCCAAGCTCCTGGGTGCTGCTGGTCAGAGGGCCACTCTCTGAGCAGCATGGCTGCATATGAACTCTTCCCACATGAGCTAACAGCAGGTGTTCACTGTCTGATGGGCTGTGACTGACTGACTCATGAGGAGTGTTCATGTCTCAAGAGGCCTCAGAGTAACTTGCTTTTTAGCCTTTAAGTCTCTGAATGCCACACAAGGCGGCAGCAGGAAGAGATCAGAAGCCTCCCGTGAGGCTTTCAGAGGCCACCGTGAATGCGCGGCTCCCTCAGCTTTCCTCTCCTACACTGTGGACAATGAGTGGGTTTCCATAGCCGAGTAACCTGACCTATTGTTGCTCGTGGATTTTCTCTTCCATACGTGGAGGGAATGCCTTCTTTTGTAGGTGGTTCACTTACACCATCTGGCATTTGCAGCCTCCCTCGGCTTGTGATCTGATATTCCAAGTCATGCTTCAGCAAACGTCAGAGCACCTGTTCAGCGTGAGCTTCATCTGCAGAGCCGGTTCCTGGAATAGCCTCCCAGTAACTTGCACTTTCCTGGTCTTTGTGCAGGGCCCACCCGTCCTCCTCTCTGAGCTCAGGGATTTGTTTTGTTTTCTCACATATTTTAAGATTGTCATTCTTCAGAGAGACACTAAAATCTGACCAGTTAAGTAGGTTTATAATGGGGGGGGGCAGGGTCAGAATCTGACCAGTTAGCTAGGTTTATAATGGGTGGGCAGGGCCAGTGTTATAGGCAGATTTGTAAAACTCAAGGCAAATTTACTTTTTTGTTGCTGCTGTTGTTTGTTTGTTTTTTTTTTGTTTGTTTAGCTTTTTGAGACAGGGTTTCTCTCTGTAGTCCTGGCTGCCCTGAAACTCTTGCTGGCCTCTAACTCAGAGATCTGTTTGCCTCTGCCTCCCAAACACTGGGGTTAAAGGCATGTGCCACCACCACCCAGTAGCAAATTACAATATTGATATTATTCACTCCTAGCTTTGGCATAAAAATTTACTTAAAGAATTTTATTTTTCTGGCCGGGTGGTAGTGGTGCACGCCTTTAGTCCCAGCACTTGGGAGGCAGAAGCAGGCAGATTTCTAAGTTTGAGGCCAGCCTGGTCTACAGAGTGAGTTCCAGGACAGCCAGGGCTACACAGAGAAACCCTGTCTCGAAAAAAAAAAAAAAAAAAAAGAATTTTATTTTCATTATATTTGAAAACATAAAATTTAATAAATAAAAAGTTCTAAACTTTTAGCTAATGGATTCTACATCCATAGACAGTGTCTGTCAAACTTTATGTAGACTTCCAGGTAATCTTTTAAAATGCAGATAAAATTAATGCAGATAAAATTATTCTAGCAATAATCACTTATATACTTAATAATAACATTCTTTTTTAATTATAAGAAAAAACATGAAGTCAGTTTTTGGAAAAACTTTTAGAAGTCAGTTTTCTCTTTCTCTTTGTGAGATCTAGGGATCAAACTCGGGACACCAGGCCTTTTTACCCTCTGGGCCATAGTTCTAGCCCTATGATATTATTCGTAAAAATGAAAGTAACAAAGTAGGAAAGTATAAACATTTGTGCACAGAGGTTATGGTCTAGCAATAGGGTACACAGTTAGCCTGCTTGAGACTCTGGATTCAATTCCTACAAAATTCAACATTTGTAATCTCACACTCCAGGTTACCACTATCAAAATGCTGTTGTCAGACTGCCTAGTGTTGTGCCTCCTTCCTGCCTGTATCTGTCCTTGCTGTTGAAGTGCAGTGTGCATAGGAAAAGATTTTGTAAGCAACATCCTTAATGAGTGTATAGTATCTCTTATTATAGCAATACCAAAAGGTGTCGTCATATTTAAGTACCATCATATTTTTTGGAACACATACTAGTTAATAGAAAACTCTCTCTCTCTCTCTCTCTCTCTCTCTCTCTCTCTCTCTCTCTCTCTCTC